TTCGTTAGGCAAGTGTTTGTGACCAACCATGTAAGGGAAGACCTTTGAAAACATGAGAGGGAAAATTTTGGGGTACAACACTCAGCTTGTACATCTTTAACCTGTCAAATAGTTTCTGAAGATGGTCAACGTGCTCTTCTTCAGTCTGGGATCTTGCAATCATGTCGTCAACGTAGACCTCAATCTCATGGTGAATCAGGTCATGGAACAAAGCGACCATGGCGCGCTGATACGTTTCCCCAACATTATTCAATCCGAACGACATGACTTTGTAGCAAAAGGTGCCCCACTGCGTAACAAAGGTCATCTTCTCCATGTCTTCGGGAGCCATCTTAATCTGATTGTAACCAAAAAAACCATCTATAAAGGAGAAGATCTTATGCTGCGCGGTATTGTCGACCAGAACGTCGATGTGAGGCAGTGGGAAATCATCCTTGGGGCTCGCCCTATTCAAATCTCTATAGTCCACACACATCCGTACCTTGCCATCTTTCTTCGGCACCGGAACCACGTTGGCAACCCACTGCGGGTAAGAAGTAACTGCTAGAAAACCGGCATCAAATTGTTTCATGACCTTAGCTTTGATTTACTCAGATATCTATGGGTGCATACAGCGAACTTTCTGCTTTACTAGAGGACAATCTTCTTTAGTTGGCAAGCGATGAACCACAATGTCAGTATCCAACCGAGGCATATCTTTATAAGACCAAGCGAAAATCTCAACATAGTCGTGTAGAATCTGTATCAACCGTTGCTCGACGCTAGGCTCCAGATTCGCATCGATCTTAACCTCTTTCTTGTCTTCCTCTGTACCCAAATTTACTGATTCCACTGGCTCTTCATGGGGCTGTATGGCCCTCTCTTCCTGTAGTAACAACCTAGCAAGTTCCCCAGGCACTTCACAATCATCCTCACCTTCGTCCTCGACTTGGTTGATCGGATTTTCGAAGTCATAACTGGAAGTAGTAGAGTCGTTATCGGTGGGATCCAAAGTGGATGTGGATCTGCATTATGATATGTGAGTGTGTGTAAGACAATAGCTGTTTTAATAAAGTGCAAGATAGAAAGGAAAAACAAGGAGCGCAAAATTTGTAATACTAGAAAACGTCCAATACTTTATTGATGATATATGAAAATGACACATAATAAGCCCTAAAAAACAAAGCCAAGGTGTCTCGGGCAAGGCATTGGGCCGTAAAGTTTTAAACTGTCTATTACAAATCTCAAAACAAAAGTCTATTACTGTGTAATAAAAGAAACGGGCACGAAGTCCTTCGCCGTCCAATTGTTTAATCCACCGTTGGTAGTCGGGTAAATCCAGCTGTCAAACTCTGACTCTTCTTCGTCGTCTTCAATTGCATCATGAATATGGTGAGAAGTATGTTGAAAGGTAAGAATTTACCTAAAGAGTTTTGGGGTGAAGATGTTTCGACTGCAACATACATTTTGAACAGATGTTCTACAAAGAAGCTAGAAAGAATTACTCCAGAAGAATATTGGTCTGGTGTAAAGCCTAGCTTGAGTCATCTGAAGGTATTTGGATCTATTGCACATAGACATGTGCCAGATCAGTTGAGAAGAAAACTTGATGACAAGTCAAGTCAAATGATTCTAGTTGGATATCATTCGACAGGAGGTTACAAGTTGTTCGATCTAGAAAACAAGAAGATTGTGATCAGCAGGGACGTGATCATAGATGAGTTTTAAGAATGGGATTGGACTGAAAATGTCAAGAAAGATTCAGTGGGAATCCTATTCGAAGAACCAGAAACTCAAGTCAAAAGAGAAGTTCGACAAGAGGAACCAACAGATGTACCAAGTACAAGCAGACCTCAAAGAACAAGACGAATGCCTGCAAGATTACAAGATTGTGTGATTACATCAGATGATGTGATAGATGATGAAGGTGAGCTGGTACGTTATGCTTTCTATGCATATGTCGAACCTGTTAATGAAGTTGAAGCATTGAAGGATTCAAAGTGGGTGAAAGCAATGAACGAAGAAGTGAAGTCTATCGAAGATAACAACACTTGGTCACTTGTCGAATTTCCTCAAGACAAGAAGGAAATTGATGTCAAGTGGATATACAAAGTGAAAATGAATTCGAAAGGGGAAGTAACTCGACACAAAGCAAGGCTTGTGGCGAAAGGATTTCTACAGAAAGAAGGAATAAACTTCGATGAAGTTTTTGCACCTGTTGCTAGGATCGAAACAATCAAGTTGGTTATTGGTCTAGCAGAAATAAACAGTTGGCACATATGTCAGATGGACGTGAAGTGTGCATTCCTAAATGGACCCTTAGAAGAAGAAGTTTATGTTAAACAACCAGTTGGGCTTGTGAAACACGACGAAGAAAGTAAGGTGTACAAGCTGCATAAAGCCCTGTATGGATTGAAACAAGCTCCAAGGGCTTGGAATAAGAAAATTGATAGTTTCCTAAGGGAGAAGGAATTTGTGAAGTGCACAACTGAACATGGAGTATATGTAAGAAGAAGCAAGAGTAAATTGCTTATACTATATCTCTATATAGATGATTTGTTGATAACAGGTAGCTGCAAGAGTGAGATCGAAGACTTCAAAGATGATCTCAGCAAGGAATTCGAAATGTCTGATTTGGGTGAGATTTCATATTTCCTTGGTATCAAATTCTACAAGAGCAGTAGAGGTTTGATGATGCATCAAAGAAGATATGCAGAAGAAATTCTCAAGAGGTTTGAGATGGAAGAATGCAACTCAACTTCGACACCTGTAGAACCAAGACTGCAACTGTCGAAAGATGCAGATGAAGACGATGTTGATCCAACCCAATACAGAAGACTTATTGGATCATTGAGATACCTTTGTCATACAAGGCCTGACTTAGCATACAGTGTAGGTATGGTAAGTAGATTCATGCAAAAGCCAAAGATATCACATCTAGAAGCAGTGAAGAGGATACTAAGGTATCTCAAAGGAACATTCGATTATGGCATTTTGTTTCCTACAACTGATAAAAGAAAAGAATGCAAGTTAGTGGGATACACTGATTCGAGTTGGCGTAGTGATGCTAAAGGTCGAAAGTCAATAGTAGGATATGTGTTTATGCTAGGTGGTGCACCAGTTGCTTGGAATTCAAGAAAGGAACCAGTAGTGACATTATCATCATGTAAAGCAGAATACATAGTTGCTTCTCTTTGTGCATGTCAAGCAACTTGGATGGTGAACTTGGTCGAAGAGATAACAGGGAAAGATCATGGAGCAATTACCATGAAGATCGACAACATGTCAGCTATCAATCTGGCGAAGAACCCAATAGCACATGGTCGAAGTAAGCACATCGAAATGAGGTTCCATTATCTTCGAGAGCAGGTAGCAGATGGGAAGATGAATTTAGAACACTACAGAACTGAGAATCAGATTGCAGACATCATGACGAATGGAGTGAAAGTCAAAGTATTCAGAAGACTAAGAGCCATGATGGACATAGATAGTTTAGACACAATGAATTATATGGTGTGTTAAATTATAATTCAGTGTGTCGAAACTATGTGTCGAAAAGATTTGATTTAGATTTAAATAGATTTGATTTAAGTCTAGAATAGATTAGATTAGATTTAGTAACAAAATAGATATTTTAGGCTTTGGGCTTAGGGTGTAAGCTCAGTTATAAATAGATGGAGTAACCCCTATTTTTGTAAGCAAGACAATTAAGTTGTATTAACAGAATTTGCAGTTGCAAGTGAATAACAAAGTTTTCACAGTTTGTGAATAGAGTGAAACTCTGCAGGAATTATTTGTCATGTCTTCTTTTCTTTGTTTGTCTCATAATTAAACTGTCATTGTAGTAAAAATTTATCATAGACTTTGGTGAGTTTCCAACATTTAATACAACACAAATAATATTAATTCGTCAAATAAATTACTACTTTTTTTAGTAATAAATTTGTTTTTTAGAAAACAATTTCCGTTAAGTTTTAAATTTTAGTATTCAATCGTTTTTCTAAAAAGATGTTGTAAAAAATTGGTTGTTGTATTTTAAGAACATAAAACTTGATTATAAAATTATTATTTTTAAAAATTCTTTTTCATTAAAAGTCTAAACAAATCAAATGAAAACATTGTTGTTTCTTTATTTTTGCTGGAACCATCTTTAAAGTTAATTAATTGTGAAGAAAGAGAAATTATTTTATTGGTTGTGGGTTCATATAGTTTCAATTAAGGGATTATATTCGAAGAATATCAAATTTAATTCTTAAGTGAAAATAATGTTTGACCAGATCATCTTGACCTCGAGGTTCAAACTGGATTAATCGACTCGCTATGTGGATCAGACATCTCGTGAAAACGAAGAAAAAAATATACATGTGATCCAAGAATAATTGGATGAGATAGATGGGATTTCTTTCAATTTAATCAAAAGTTCTAAATTCTATCCATATTATATTTAGATAACAATCAAGCAACCAAAATAAGTATTTTTAAAAACCAAAAAAAACATATTAAGTGTTTAATACAATATCAAAGCTTAGCGATTCAAATTATTTAACATTATCTAACAAAACAAGAGTGAAATATTTTAAAATCTAAATTCTAATTATCAAGATCAATAATATTAGATATACTCTTACAACACCAAAAATTTTAAGTTTTGAGTCTTTTTTTTTTAAACAGGACAGTGAATTGTTTTTTAAAATTTGTTATTTTTTAAGTAGTTTTATTTTTTAACGAATTGACAGACTAACCCGTCCAATTTTATCTTCAACTTGTAGATTTTTTCGCTTTATACGCATTATATGGATAGACAGATTTAAAATCTCAACCTCTCATTTTTAAATGGATGTGCGGGCTGGCCCGACGGACTACGTTCCGTACTGCAAAATAAACTTTCTCATATAGCAAGTATTGTCTTTTGCTTTTTTACAAAATGGCTTTACCCTCCCCAATTTTCCTTTAACAAAATAGGTTTTTATCTCAATCATCATCCAACTTTAATATATGGCATAGCTGGATGCCTTATATATATGGCTTGCTTTGGGTTTCGAAAATATAGTTTTTTGCTTTTTTACAAAATGGCTTTGCCCATACTTGCACCTCCCCAATTTTCCTTTAACAAAATGTTTGTTCCAGAAAATAGGTCTTTATCTTTAGTATCATGGAACTTCATTAACGCTCGTCAAGTTAAATGCAAGGCAACAAATGAAGTTGGAAATGATGATAGTCAAAATATTCCTCGTCGATCTTCAATTTACCAACCTTCAATTTGGACTAATGATTATATCCAATCATTAAATAGTGAATTCAAGGTACTGTTATCTTTAAATTCTTATTACTTTTATTTATACATTTGTTTAACCTCCATGTAATTACAAGTTATATTTATGAAAAATGATGATAATTTTTAGTTAAATAAATTAATGCAGGACGAAATATATGCAAAGAAATTGAGAGTGCTAAGGGAGGAAGTAAGGATGATGTTTAACAAAATGGAAAATGAGGTTGACCAACTTGAGTTTATTGATGTGTTGCAAAGGCTTGGAGTGGATTACCATTATACCAATGAAATAAAAAATATACTCGACAATATTTACGACACACAAACATCCAAGTTGAACAAGAATTTACATGTCACAGCACTCCACTTTAGACTCTTGAGACAATATGGTTATCATATATCAACAGGTTATTTAATCTATATAATTGGGGTCGGTCCAACTAATTGTGTGGCTAAAACCAAATATAAAATTAGATATTTTTTAATCAAAAAATTAAAATATTTTCAATAAGAAAAATTCAAAATATTAAATTTTATATTAATTAACTAAATAAGTTTTTGTATTTATTTGTGTAATTTCAATTTTTTTTGTTCATAATATCTACGTTATATAAATTTAACGAAATTTGAATTTTATTATTTTTATATATTTTAAAATTAAATGCATTTTCTATTATTATGAGAATTTCTATCAATTTTATTAACCTGAAAATAAATCCACCAAACAAGTTTTTTACTTTTTCATCTCTAAAACAATTTGTTTTCGTAGAAGACCTACAGCAAAAACTTTTGATAATTTGTATTTTTTTATATTTTGAGTATATGTTTATTCGTTGTAGATATTTTTGTTTGCTTTCGAGACGAAATATGTAATTTGAAGAAAGACCAACCAGATGATGTTGAAGGAATGTTGTCCATGTATGAAGCCTCATTTCATTCATTTGAAGATGAAACCATATTGGATGAAGCAAGAGATTTCACAACAAAGTTTCTCAAAGAATATTTGAACAAACATGGAGATGATAATGTTACGTCACTTCAAATAAGTCATGCTTTGGAACTCCATTGGAGAGTTCCTAGATGGGGGGCTCGTTGTTTCATCAATATATACGAAAAACAGCAAAATAAGAATAATGTTTTACTTGAGTTTGCTAAATTGGATTTCAACATTTTACAAACCATCTACCAAGAAGAACTAAAGTACACATCAAGGTAACAAAGCTCAAATTATTATCTATTAAACTTTTCGGTTTTATAAAATTTTCACCTTATCTAAAAATTCTAATTTTCTCTTTATTAAAAATAAATAATATCCATTCATTCAAATTAATAGAGTACATCATTACAATACAAATTTAATATTGTCAAAAATAAAAAAAGATGATTCTGCGAACAAACTCATAATATCATGTTAATAGCATAAAATAGCAAATTACACAAGTTATAAATATGGTTGTATTAAAGTATTCGAAATATTTATATCTTCGGATCTGTAGCGTTAATTACACCAAATTCATAGATTGGATCTGCACTATATGAAAACTAATTTTCAACCTGAAACAAATAAATACCGCACAAGACGGAAAAACAAAATACACCATATAAAGATGAGATATCAAATCACACCGCACAAAGGCGAGAAATAAAAACAAACAACAACACACTAAAATGACAAAATCCTAAAAAAATACAAAAAAAAAAATCACTAAATATATGTGAAAATCATTTATTTAACAAATAGAGAAACAAAATCGATTTGAAGGAATGATTTTAAATCAAAATCGATCATAAATCACCCTTTCATTGAGAGACAAAGAAGAGAAGAAAAGTAATGACGGCTAAAGTTAGAAATTCTCTTTAAAATATCTAAAAAATTTAAGTAAAATCAACAAATTTTCATGTAATTGATCTTATTTTAATGCTTAATTTTGCTTCAAATACTCTTAATAAATTGTTTATATTATGTTGCAACATGGAAAAGATATATTTTGATTACATTTTTTACATAAATAAATTACTTATTTATTAGGCATAAATACGTTTTGAAGATATGAATATAAAGAAAAGTGATATATTCTCTAATCACTATTAAAAATGAAATTTTAAAATATGATAAAAATGTAATCGTTGGGATTCGGAGATTTATCTCTCTAGTTATTTTATTTTCGATTTTTAGTAAAATCGAGGTAATAGGTCATAAAAAAATTTAAAAAAATTAAAACATGATAAAATATAATTGATGGAATTTGAAGACGTGTCTCTATAACAACTTTACTCTTAGGTCAAAATTTTTTTTTTAATATATTAAAATATAATTATTGAGATTCTAAAATGTGTTTTCTAAATACTTTATCCCGTGATTTTAAGTAAAACCAAGGAATATATGAAAATTTTTTCCAAAAAAATGTGGCACCAGCTTTTGGGTTGGCATCAGTTTTGGAGCGGAGGCAGTAATTAGCAGTTTTCAGTTGTCATCTTTGCAGTCTGATTTAGATGTTAGGTGACTTACTGTTGCAGGCATTATACTGTGTGTACCTTGGTGCTGTGAGTTCTGCTTGCTTCATACTTTCTTAAGCTTCATTTTTCTTAGCTTGTAATTTAGTTTCTTGGAATTTGTTTTTTATTCTGATTTAATGTTTTGTGGCTTTGGATTCTATAGATGTAATGTTTTTCTTGTATGCCTTGTCATTTCTTATTCCTAAGTTTCTAATAATGTTTTTTTGTTGTTTCAAAAAAATATATATAGAAAGTGTCATTTACTAAAATTTTATTTTTCTTTTATTTGTTAAGATGGTGGAAAAGAACTGAAATATGGGAAAAGTTAAGATTTGTCAGAGACAGGATTGTTGAAAACTACGTTTGGACTGTGGGAATGAGTTTTAAGTCAGAATTTGAATATTTTCGAAAAGTTCTAACAAAGGTCAATTCCTTAATTACCACAATTGATGATATTTATGATGTGTATGGTACCTTGGAAGAACTAGAACTCTTCACAGAAGCAATTGACAGGTAACTACACTATATTTATAAGGTCACTTTATGGTGGATATTGCTAAACATACCATTTTCTTGTGGTTTTAGATGGAATTTAAATGTCGTTGATACTCTACCATGCTACATGAAAATATGCTATTATGCCCTCCATCACTTTGTGGATGAAGTTGAAATCTTGAACAAGACTGGGTACCCTATCACTCCATACTTGAAAAAACAAGTAAGTAACATTTTCTTTTTTCTTGATTATTTCTATTTGGTATAATATTTTATTTATAAGATGTTATTGTGATAAATAGTGGACAGGTCTATGTAAATCATATTTGACTGAAGCAAAGTGGTATCATAGTGGATATACACCAACCTTTGATGAATACATAGAAAATGCATGGATATCCATAAGTGGACCTCTTGTACTTATCCATGCTTACTTTGTTATTCCACATTCATTCAAGCAAGAAGATTTGGTTTGTTTAGAAGAAAACAACAACATAATTCGATATTCAGCAATGATTTCCCGTCTTGCCAATGACCTCGGAACAAGTGAAGTATGTTGTCAATTTCAGTTTTATTTCTTATTTTTTACAACTTAATATTTTATTTTCACTTAATTAATATTACACATCACTTATATGAAGTAAGAATACAATCAAACCTTTAACTTTTCTTAATTAATTTTGTTTCCTATTTTTGAAGCGTGAAATTGAGACAGGTGATATCCCAAAATCAATTCAATGTTATATGAAAGAAACTGGAGCTTCTGAAATAGAGGCTCGTGAGCATGTAAAGTCTATGATATATACAATTTGGAAGAAGTTGAATAAAGAATCTTATAGTTCATCTTTCTCTCAAAGTTTCATAGATATTTCAGTAAATCTTAGTAGAATGGCATTATTCTTTTACCAACATGGAGATGGCTATACTATTCAAGATCCAGAAATTCAGAATCGTATACAATCATTAATTTGGAATCCCATTCCTATGGATGGTTAAGCTATAACTTGCGTGTGATTTTATCCATCATTGTAGTTGTTCATTTTAAATTGAGATGTAATACCTTTTATAATCAATAACTGAATAAATTACATTGTTTGATCATTTCATTCGTGTGTTTCAAACTACTTGTAGAAGTTAATCTCTGACTTAGAAAGACATGGGACCCAACAGTTAGTAAGATGAGTACCCACAAAAAGAAATGAAATGATGAGTTATGTAACATCCTTTTATTTCCATATGTATTATTCATATAATTTATAAAATAATTCAAATAAATATCACCATTCAAGGGTGTCATACTTCATAGAAAATATCACAACAACAGTCTTGCTCCGTAACACGGGTAATACCAGTTAAAAACATATATCTGATCATAATTTATCACATTAATTAGAGATATCGTAGGAGAAATTCATCGTTATATATATATATATATATATATATATATATATATATATATATATATATATATATATATATATATATATATATATATATATATATATATATATATATATATATATATATATATATATATATATATATATATATATATATATATATATATATATATATATATATATATATATATATATATATCATAATAATTAACTTCTAAACAATTCATAACATTGGTCTCATCACTTATTAAAATCATTTTAAACAATCAAAACCGACATAGAGTATGCCAACATCAAAACAAAATATATCATCCATAAAATAGAGTATTCCCAACTCGATGTTACATATCATAGGAAGGAATCGAGTAAAATATATAAGTTGCACAAAGCGCTCTATGACCTCAATCAGGCGGTACGACGCGTAAATCCCCAAAGGTCGGGTTGCACCCATGTCTACTTGCCAAAAAGTTGCATACAAAACATTATCCGCCTTCGAGCATTTTTATTTCGAAGATACCTCGTCAGGTATGAGCATGTGTAACACCACGATATTTAATTATTTATTTAATTGAATATTGTTTTGAATATTTTATATTAATTGAATTTTATCGTCAAGTCGGAATTATTTTATTAAGTTGGAATATTAAATAATCGGATTTAATTTGGTGGAATTAGGAGGTGTTTGGACTGTACAACCCTTGAGCAATCTTGAGCAATTTAAGGATCATTCTTGCCATATCTTGAGGAATATGGGAGGGAAAATTTTAGGGTACAACAATTGCCCCTGTTCAATCTTCTTAAACCCGAGGATGTAGATTGGCTTGTGTGCCTTTCGTGATCCGAAGGTGGAAGATGATTGAACACTAAAGTGCCCAGAAATTTGCACTCGCATGGTGTAGTATCAGCATTGTGGTGTCGGGAATGGGCTTACAGATGCCATTTGGAGAGACGATGGATAGGAGGATGGGATTATAGATGCCACCTGGAGGTTGTTGGTTGGTAATTTTGTCTTCGTTGACAGGTTGTCTTCATTGACGGGTTGTCTTCATTGACGGGTTGTCTTCATTGAAGAGTTGTCTCTATTGACGGGTTGTCTTCATTGACGGGTTGTCTCTATTGACAGGTTTAGCATCAGAAAAATATTTAGGAATCAATTTAAATGGTTTTGTCTCCATTGACTGTGTTCAGATCAGAAAAATCTTTAGTAATCGATTTAACTGATTTTGTCTCCATTGACTGGCTGGCCTCAGAAAAATCTTTAGGAATCGATTTAACTGATTCTGTCTCCATTGACTGGCTTGCCTCAGAAAAATCTTTAGGAATCGATTTAACTGATTTTGTCTCCATTGACTGGCTTGCCTCAGAAAAATCTTTAGGAATCGATTTAACTGATTTTGTCTCCATTGACTGGCTTGCCTCAGAAAAATCTTTAGGAATCGATTTAACTGATTTTGTCTCCATTGACTGGCTTGCCTCAGAAAAATCTTTAGGAATCGATTTAACTGATTTTGTCTCCTTTGACTGAATTTTGTCTCCTTTGACTGGATTTGTCTCTTTTGACTGGATTTGTCTCTTTTGACTGGATTTGTCTCCTTTGACTGTATTAGCATCAGAAAAATCTTTAGGAATCGATTTATCTGGTTTTGTCTCCTTTTACATAGCTGAGCATTTAACCGCGTCTTTCCTGAAAGGTAAAGGTCAGTCATATGCAATGAATGACGGGGATCAAGCAATGATGTTCTCAACATAAATGAGATTGTATGGTATGATGCGTATATGCATGTATCATGATGTATGAAAATGTGATGTTTTAGCTGGGGAAAATAAATCCCGGAGCTGCTGGAGAATAGAGTTGGATTCTTCGTTTCCGCTGGGGATGATGAACGAAGATGATAAACTTGCAAGGGAGGATGACTCCGTTGGGGAAGAAACTAGTGAAGAGATTACTCTGCGTGGAATTACTCTATGGGGAGGAGATGCTTTGCTGAGATTTTAACGATAACTCTGTTGGGGGTTCCGTTGATAAGCTCTATTGGGGATTTTGATGATGAACTCCGCTGGGGATAGAAAGAACTTCGCCGGGGATGATCTTTCCGTTGTAACTTGCTGAGGATAACCCAGTTAGACTCTTGTGGGGATAACCTTCTGAATATGGCTGGGGAGATACATTTGCACTTTGCAGGAGACAAGCTTCCAGAATCTACTGGAGAAGATGATTCAACTCTGGCGGGGAAGATTTTTTAGACTGCATTGGGAAATGGCTCCACTGGGGGTATCTTGTATTCCGCCGGGGAACATTCTTATATTCTGTCGAGGGATATTAAGATTGTCGGGGATGCTTGCTGGGGAATATCTGTATACTCCGATGGGTAATATTAAGATCTACTGGGGATAACCTTTTTGGGGCTGACGGTAGACCAACTCTGCTTGGGGAGAGTATTGTTGATTTGTTCATAGTTGCATGTCTCAGTGGGGAATAGCTTCCATTACTGTCTTAATCTTGGGGAGTGAAGGTATCTTGGTCATATTCTTCAACTGAACCTACCTTGGTACCTTGGTGGACAGAGCAACTAGATCGCTTAGACAATTCTTATTTCCCCTACTGTTGATATTACCCGTAATTAGTCCTTTGTTTCGCATGCAAATATTTATGAGTAGCAATTAATGTCAAATGCATATATCAAAAATGAACATTGGACGTTCTTTGCAAAACAAAACAGATAAAGAAAAAAACAATTTGCAATTTGTCTGAAAAATGAGCTTGTATTGATTTTGAAATTCGCTTGTAAATAGGCGTTTTTGTACAAGAGGCTGACGTCCTAGTAAGAATAATGTTTTACTTGAGTTTGCTAAATTGGATTTCAACATTTTACAAACCATCTACCAAGAAGAACTAAAGTACACATCAAGGTAACAAAGCTCAAATTATTATCTATTAAACTTTTCGGTTTTATAAAATTTTCACCTTATCTAAAAATTCTAATTTTCTCTTTATTAAAAATAAATAATATTCATTCATTCAAATTAATAGAGTACATCATTACAATACAAATTTAATATTGTCAAAAATAAAAAATATGATTATGCGAATAAACTCACAATGTCATGTTAATAACATAAAATAGCAAATTACACAAGCTATAAATATGACTATATTAAAGTATTCAAAATATTTATGTCTCCGGATCTGTAGCATTAATTACACCAAAGTTATAGATTGGATCTGCACTACATGAAAACTATTTTTCAACCTGAAACAAATAAATACCGCACAAAGACGGAAAAATAAAATATACCGCACAAAGATGAGAAATTAAATCACACTGCACAAAGACGGGAAATAAAAACAAACAACGACACACTAAAATGATGAAATCACAAAAAAAATACAAAAAAAAACAACTAAATATATGTGAAAATTATTTATTTAACTAATAAAGAAACAAAATTGATTTAGAGGAATGATTTTAGATCAAAATCGATCCTAAATCACCCTTTCATTGAGAGATAAAGAAGAGAAGAAAAGTGATGACGGCTAAAGTTAGAAATTCTCTTTAAAATATCTAAAAAATCTAAGTAAAATCAACAAATTTTTATGTAATTGATCTTATTTTAATGCTTAATTTTGCTTCAAATACTCTTAATACATTGTTTATTTTATGTTGCAACATTGAAAAGATATATTTTGATTACATTTTTTACATAAATAAATTACTTATTTATTAGGCATAAATATGTTTTGAAGATATGAATATAAAGAAAAGTGATATATTCTCTAATCACTACTAAAAATAAAATTTTAAAATATGATAAAATATAATTGTGGGGATTCGAAGACTTGTCTCTCTAGTTATTTTATTTTTGATTTTTAAAAAAATCGAGTTAATAGGTCATAAAAAAATTAAAAAAAAAATTAAAACATTATAAAATATAGTTGATGGAATTTGAAGACTCTGTTTTGGGGTCGGCATCAGTTTTGGAACGGAGGCAGTAATTAGCAGTTTTCAGTTGTCATCTTTGGAGTCTGATTTATATGGTAGGTGACTTACTGTTGCAGGCATTATACTGTGTGTACCTTGGTGCTGTGAGTTCTGCTTGCTTCATACTTTCTTAAGTTTCATTTTACTTAGTTTGTAATTTAGTATCTTGGAATTTGTTTTTTATTCTGATTTAATGTTTTGTGGCTTTGGATTCTATAGATGTAATGTTTTTCTTGTATGCCTTGTTATTTCTTATGCCTAAGTTTCTAACAATGTTTTTTTGCTGTTTCAAAAAAAATATATATAGAAATTGTCATTTACTAAAATTTTATTTTTCTTTTATTTGTTAAGATGGTGGAAAAGAACTGAAATAGGGGAAAAGTTAAGATTTGTGAGAGACAGGATTGTTGAAAACTACGTTTCGATTGTGGGAATGAGTTTAAGTCAGAATTTGAATATTTTCGAAAAGTTATAACAAAGGTCAATTCCTTAATTACCACAATTGATGATATTTACGATGTGTATGGTACCTTGGAAGAACTAGAACTCTTCACAGAAACAATTGACTGGTAACTACACTATATTTATAAGGTCACTTTATGGTGGATATTGCTAA